TTTACAAATCAACATTATTATAAAACGAATGTACAATTAGATGTCTTTCTAAATTATCTGTATTAAATGATTGTCTCCTATCAGTAAGTATGTACTTGTACAAAGAAAAACTCCTTTCGACATCTACAGAAGTAATATGTGCAAACTTAAATTTTCCTGAAATATCTGGATGAATAGTATTAATATCTTCAAAGTTACCAGAATAAATATTAGCAAGGTTTCTTAAAACAATAAATACTTCATTTTTTTAAATTACATTTGAAAATTTATGAAAAACCGTCTTTCCAATATCACCCTGGACATTTTTACACTCTGATTCAAACGTTTTAATTAAATTTACGGAAGTCACCAAAGGTAATATAATTTTGGGTACAAATGCATAATTTTTTAAAAACACTAATTGCTTTGGTAATATGTGATTTGGAAACAACTTCTTTGTATTAGATATTCCCTTAGATGAATCAACAAAATCAAATATGATTTCTTTAATTTTTTCATAATTATCTGCGTAAAAAAAGGCAGCTTTAAGCCAGGTACCCCAACGAGTAATCACAGGTTCCGGTGGCATCTGTAATTCAGGAAATTTTTCTTTGTACAATTGAGTTCTTAGAGGAGCTTTAAGAAATATTTTTTTTACATTACTAATTAAATCATTTATTAAAGGAAAGTTAGACCTAATTTCTTCTGCAACTCTGTTAAGGCCATGAGCCAAACATGTAACATGGATTAAGTTTTCATAAAACATTTTTAAATTTTGTGCGGCTTTTACATGTACGGGGCAGCATCGGATAACAGCAATAAACATTTTTTTGTTGGAACGGCTTCCGGAAGAAAAAAGGAAGACAATTCTGTCTGGATAAAACGAGTTATTGTCAAGTTATTTGTTTTATCTAATTGCTTTAAAGCGATTAGATATGGACCAATTTGCATTACTTCGCGATATATCGACCATAAGAGTCTGTTGTTTCATCCACAATAATGTAGAAATGGTTTCCAACGGTAATCTCACGAATTTTTTCACGAGTCTCAATGAACAAACTGTCAACACCACGTTTGCGTTTGCTCTGGAATATTAAATTTACAGTATTTTTGCAAAAATGATCGGAGATTTGGATTATTTAATCGTATTAAAGGGATGTTCGAAGTCACTAAAGCTTTGCATAAATCTTCATTAAAAATAGCTTGTTTACTTCTAGACGATCCAGATTCTAAATATTGTTTCAAGGGAAGTTGACTTTGTCTGCGAGTGTCTTTAGATTTCTGCTTTCCTATATGTGAGGGTGTTTTCGCGTGTTGGTCGATTTGAAACTTTTTTTTACATGGAATCTAAAACAAATAAATTCCTGTAGATGTTGAAGTTTTAATTAAATTAAATAAATGCGTACGTTGTAAAGTTGCCCTACTTTTTTTAACTGTGAGTTGAAATAATAGTTTACTGTCATTTGATTTACCATTGTGAAAGGTCAAAATAAAATATAAAATAAAAAAGTACTTACAATTTTAGAACATGTTTTACAAAACACCTGGTTATCACCTTCTACAACAAAATCTAAATAAGATTTTACCCACGATTCAATTAATTTTGCCATTTTTCCCACTGGTTAACACAACACAACAATAAAGACTGAAATGAAGTTGAAAGTAAACTGAGTCACTTCGAAATTTGAAGATATTAATACAACTACCTGAAATGATATTTAGCAAAATTTGTTGGTTTTAGGAGGGTGTTTATAATTTAATCCTTTCAAGTACCTACACCATTAACCCTAATTTATTACAGGGAAAAGTTAATCCTTCAAAATTTTAGGAAATCGAGCTGTAAAGGCGTTTCACAAAATATTATTTTGGTCCAAAACTCATAATCCAAAATTGTATATATATGAAACATATGCTAAATATGGCGTTTTGCATATATTCCTAGCTCTAGTTATTATTAATGTTAATGAAGACAGCAGTGATAGTTCTAGTGATAGTGATGATTTTGATGACGATTTTTTAGAACTCTGGTAATGTGATTATGTTTATTTTGTTTGATAGTAATTTTAGCAACAAGGAATAGAGGTTAGTATAAATTCAGTATTTGTTGACCGATAACATATTTTTTCAAAATCCTCGTTATCTTATTTTAATATTTGTATGCTGATGACTTTCACCACTTCTACTTCACCCTCACATTTTGTTAAAATGTTAAAGATATCAAGTGCAAAATCACCATTTTTTTCACCCAATAAATTTTTTTAACAGAATACATTTTAGCTCATAGATAACAAATGCATTTTAACAAATTCTGTAGTACTTAAAAACCTATTTACATAATTGCGTTTGATCCATTGTATAGGGTATCAGGTATTTCCTATAATACCATCAAATGATAGCCACTGTTGATAAAACATTCTTAGAAACGAGGGCGAACTCGATTTGACCGTTATTAAGGATTAAAATTTCAGGTAATTTTCTTAAAATTTTGTGATTAATCTAAGCGTGATCGTTTTAAAAATACTAGGAAATTTATTTTAAGCGAAAGTAGTATACGCTACTGAGCTTTAATAGTAGCCAGTAAGATCGTTTAAAGGTGTGTCAGCAGTGCGCAAACTTTACGCCCCTACTGACAAATTAGGATGCGATGCCTGTACATACATTGTTAATTTTTTTTCAATAGCTATGCTTGGGTATTAAGGGATTTTTTTTAAACTCCACACCAAACATTTTATGTATGTTCAAGTTGCTGTACTTTTTGTACATAAAATAGTTACAAATTTAATTTTTTTTTTGTTCTCCATACACTTGTTTCTGGTATCTAGGTACTGCTTCTTCAGTACTAATTCTTACACTAACAGAAAGATGATTTCGAACCACCTCATTCATTCTTCTCTCTTTACGTTCATCTTTAGGTAATTATATTTGGAAATTAAAATGAACTAAAATTTAAACAAACTAAAACTCTGATGAAATCAAATTTAAAAATTCAAAAAACTAGGTATTTTATAAACGAGCTGAAAACTCAATTTAGTCAACAGCCAATATGCGTCAAATTACACCAATTATTGTAAAATTGTATAATACCAGTAGGCTTGTGGCAAATAATATCATCTATTTTATGTACAGTATTTTGAGCTAAATTACTTTTGTAAGTGTAAGTTTCCAATGGTGTGAAAATAAGTATTTAAGGATGCCGTTTCAATTTAGTAATGAAGAAAATGAAGACATTATTTTTGTGTTTGGTTTTGGCAACGGAAACGGTAGAGCAGCAGTAAAAGAATATCGCAGACGCTTTCCTATTCGCCGTTTACCAAATTCTAAGACATTTTCGAGGTTTTCGAATTCAGTAACCAAAATGAAAAGTTTCCAACTGCAGCTAAACATGAACATGCTCCGAGAAATAATCTTCGACAAGAAGAGCAGATATCAAATAATCCTTCTATCAGCGTAAGAAGAATTAGTAATGAATTAGCATTACCGATAACAAGAGTATAGAAAACTTTAAAAAAAGAAAATTTGCATCCATTTCATGTACAAAAAGTACAGCGACTTAAACACGGAGACGACGTACCCCGCTTATATTTTTGTAGATGGAGTTTAGCCCACAGAAGAACAATATAGAGAATTTTATTTACTGATGAATCCCAATTTACAAGAGATGGGATCAATAATACTAGGAATGGTCATATTTGGGCAAGTGAAAATCCTCACACTGTATCGCAAAAACATTCCCAATATAGATTTTCTATAAATGTATGGTGTGGTATTTATAGTAATCATTTAATAGGCCTTCACAGGCAGATTAACAGCTGAAGTTTATTTAAATTTCTTTAGAGACATCTTGCCAAATTTGTTAGAAGGGATTATACCAAAGGAGTGTGGTTTCAACACGATGGTGCTGGACCTCATTTTTAAATACTGGTCAAAAACCATTTAAATCATCGTTTTAGATAGGTCGACTCTGTCCCGTCAATTGGCCACCAAGATCTCCAGATCTAACACCTCTGGATTATTTTTTATGGGGCTACCTTAAATCAGATGTGTTCAACGAAGAAATGAATACCCAAGCACAGTTATTGGAAAAAATTAATAATGTATGTATCAACATTAAAAATAAACCGGAAATAATTAATAAATCAGTAAAAACCTGGTAAAACATTAACAGAGTTGTATTGACGTTCACGATGTTCAGTTTGAAAACCTACTTTGGTTTTAATTACTTATTTGTTTCTGTTAGTTTGGTCTGTTACTTTCCTGTGTAGATGTTCAATTTCTTATTGGAAAATGCAGTAGTATGGTATCTAATTTGTGTAGAGTTTTAAAAATACAGAGTAAAATATTTGATTTCAATTCTGTAAATACTATGATTTATAATATTGTAGTCGCCATTATAAAAATTTACTGTAAAAAAATTAAGAAGGTGCCATAAAAAATTATTACATTATTTTATTTATTGATCCACGTACTATTTAAATGTGTAGTAACATTTATTAAAAAACGATATACAGGGTGATTTTCTAGCTCAAAAGAGCAATATAAAAAAATTGTCCGGTCCTGGAATTTTTTAAAATTAAATTATAGTTTTGACTAACCTAAGAGAGTGTAACTTTTGTACAAAATTTTATCAAAATATCTCAAATAGCTGTTCAAACAAAATGGCCGATTTTAGTTTTGGCAGAAAATAATAAAATACCTTATATCTCAGAAACGAGTGAAATTAAAGGCTAAGTATGGAGGTGTTTTGAACTCAGCTAAGTGTACTCTACCTCTCATTAAGCTGTGTCCGTTTAAATTTGAAACACCCTATATATGTAAAGGGACAAAGCAGCCAGTCGGCTTTATGCATTTTCTGTATATTACAGTTATCGAGTTCCTGAGCAATAGTATTTCATGTGCAATGGGCATAACTCAATTCCATCACTAAGTTTTAATACTTATACAAGTTGTTGAAGTTGTAATCTTCTCTTCAAGATATTTTGTAGATTTTTTAAATCTAAAGTAAATAAAAATGTAAAACAAACCTGTACAAAAAGGTGGTTCATCAGACACATCGCCGCAATCGTTAGTTCCATCGCAGTACGCATTGAGACGAATGCATCTTCCATTCCTACAAGGAAATTCACTTATTCTGCAAGCCGGGCCTGGCGAAATTTCATAAAAATTTGCCGCTAATACTACCATAAAGCACAACCACCACGACATCCTACAAAATAAGAAGAAATACTTTAAAAAAAGATCAGAGATCAAAAAGCAACTTGATTTTAAGATAGTTTTTCTGGAACTTTTCAGACTGTATAAAAAATACTTTTCAAAAATATTTAAGAGCTCAATTTAAATAATAACATAGTTTTTAATATAACAGAAATTTACTAAATAGGCATGTATTTAAGTAAACCCTGTTTCAAACAGTTGGGGTCATAACTCATAACACGTTAGTAGCGGTCGTAAGAGGGGTCATAAGAGAGGGTCATAAGATCGACCATAATTTGTAAAAAATACATCACCGTACCAAAATTAAAAAAATGTCAGCTATACGATTTGCTGTGGCAAACAACATTACATTTTCTAAGAATTATAGCTAATGGGTACAGATTCCTTATATCATGTAATTTTGGTGGTCTTTTAATACGATTTGTTTTATCTATATCGCGGCATTTCTCAAATTGATCTAGGGCTCGCAGAATGTTACATTTTAATATCAAAAAATTTACAAACGTAAGCATTATAACTAAAACAAAAATAAAACAATTTTGTAAAACGTACATCTAACGACTACTCAGATAGCACAAGTGGTCTCAAAGATGTCTTTACGACGTCTTGCATAAAATATATCAGACGTCTTTAAGACGTCTAGTATTTCCTGAAAGACGTCCTTAAGACGTCTGATGTTACAAAAGGTGGCATCTTTAAGACGTCTGATGTCACAAAAGGTGGCGTCTTTAAGACGTCTTATTAATAGAGTATATTGGTCTATGGAGCTTAAAATAAGCCATAAATAAGACGTCTTTCAAACGACTTATTCTGAGAACGTCTTTAAGACGACTTATTAAAAGCTTATAATGATCTTGTGAAGCCTTTAATAAGCCATAACTAAGACGTCTTTAAGGCGACTTATTAATAGCTTATAATGGTCTTGTGAAGCCCTAAATAAGCCATAAATAAGCCGACATTAATGGTCTTGTGAAGCCTTAAGTAAGCCGTAAATAAGACCTCTTTAAAGTGCCTTATTAATGGCTTATAATGGCCTTGCGAAGCTTTAAATAAGCCATAAATAAGATGTCTTTAAGACGACTTATTAATAGCTTACAATGGTCTTGTAAAGCCATTAATAAGACGTCTTATTAATGGCTTATAATGGTCTGGTTAGACTTAAATAAGCCATAAAAACACGTTCATTATTTTTATCCCGCTAATTCTATAATCTGTCTATAATAATATAAAATAATTTAAAAATCGGTATCATCGTACACAGAGGATGTCGAATATCTTGGTTATTAAAATTAGTAGAATAACCTTGCAGGTTATTAATAATCCAAAAAAGATAATTAAAAATGTTTATTGATAAAATATCTATTAATCACAGGTCATATATATTCTATGAATATATTAAGAACGTTCTGTTTATATTCTTTTTGGTATGTTCTTAGCATATACCTAGTATATACTTTGAGTATATATTCTAGAAAGTATATACTGAGTACGTGCCATAAAATTATATTCTAAAAAGTATATACCGAGCACGTGCTAAACAGGACATTCTTAGAAGATACTAAAAGACGTATACCCAGCATGTACCTCATATTCTGAGAACGTTCTAAATGCTTACAGGTAAAACTTAACACCAAATATATGTAAAAACACGTTTATATTCTATATGAATTTTTCCCAGATGCCGATCTGATAATTCGCTAGCAAACGCACTAATGTTGAGTGTTCAGGCCAAAAAACATTCACAACCTTAATAAAAGAGAAGACATAGACATAGAATGACATAGCCTACACATTTTTTGATCACGCTAGAGCTTGTAATAGGTAAATAAATTAATAAATGTGTTCTATATAAAAATAAACAAATTTTACTATATATTTAGTTTTTAGGACCTACAAGTGATAAAAAGCCATTAAATTTTTGTAATATGATAATGATGTACATTTCCTGTATGTTGGTCTTATTGATATCTTCTGGGCCACCACAAGATAATCTTTCGCGGCATGGTAGTTACAGTTTTATAGATCAAGGCTGGCCAATAAGTCGATCGCGATCGACCGGTCGATCGCAAGGCCGATTTTGGTCGATCCTCGACAGCGTCTGGTATGGAATTCCGTTTACCGTGGACTTTGAAGCGATTGTAGAAGACAAAACTTTCTATCAATAGTTTAAAGCATTCTGGAAAGGAGAATGGGCAGTTTTGCCCCACCTCCCAATAGGAGTAAGATATATGCCAAATGAAAGATATCGGTAAGGAGAACATTTGTTTTTATTATGACTTCCCTCAATTGTCTGTCCGTCCCGAGTTATACAGTGTGTCTACTTAAGTCGAAACCATATGGAAAACTTTTTTAATATTAGTTTTCTGAAAAAAAATATTGTGATAAGAAGTTCTGCATGGTCCAAAACTTAAAATGCATTCATCAGATATCAATTTTTTTAAGCCGTATACGAGGTTTGTCAAAAAATATGAATTCTACTCAAGAGTAAAATACCTTATTTTTTAAAATGCAGAAGAATGTTATGAAGTAAAGTAATTTAGAATTAAACGTTTTTTTGTTAAAAACCCCCTTTGTTAGCTCTAAAAGTTCTTTTATTAGTGGAAGCTGACATAAATTCTGCCCCCCCCCCCCCCAAGCTTGGCATGGTAACGACTAAACAAACACCCAAATCCCGTGGTGAGGAAATGCATAGTTGTCAAGTTATAGATAATTTAATTTAGCTGAAATCAGTTAAGGACTAACTGTTGCCATAGGGATACTTATCATGGTAACAGAAAACAGAAACCCAAATACCGTGGTGAGGAAATGAGTAGTTGCAAAGTTATAGACGCTTTAATTTAATTATAGTTTAGCTAAAATCAGTTACGGAGAAACTGTTGCCATAGGGACTCTTGTCATTGTGGCAACTAAACAAAAACTCAAATCTCGAATTGAAAAAAATGCAAAGTTGCCAAATTATAGATGATATAATCTATCTTCAGTCTAGCTGAAAGGCATTTTTCATGCAAGCCATGTACTAGCTAGCATGAGAATTGCTTTCTACCTATTACTTTAATTTTGTATTGATATTATATTGTACTAAGTAATTAAATCGGTTGTAATGTTTAAAATTTTTCAATGTTAGTACTTTTTAAATAGAAACTTTTTGAAGCACACTGTAAATTCCAAAATATTTTTTAATTAGAGCTCCAATGGATATTCATCTTTCTGTATAAAAGTAATTTGAAAAAATCATGTGTCATAGTCTGGACCGACGCGTAAAGGATGCCCCACCCTGTATGTGTTACAAATGGCTTTATATTCGTTCTAATGTAAATGAGTTAATAATATTTATGGTTGTATTATTATGTTAGTCCATTACCTTGGTCTCTAACCATTGGTCCCAGTCCTTTGGAGAGCATATGCAGCGCTGTGTAACCAACACGTAGAGGCCATTTGGTAAGGGATACACGTGGCGGATAAAATCCTCAACAGCATCTTATGATATACCCAGATATTATAATTATTTATATATTACTAAGAAGTAATAATTAATATTATTTTCCTGTAATAAGCACTACAATAATAAAATATAAGTACTGGCCTATCGTGCAATTAGTTACATTTAGGATGGTATAACTCGGAACGGACAAGTAATTAAGATGAGTCGTAATGAAGAGAAATGTTCTCCTCACAGAGGTGGGGCAATTTCCCATACATTTCTGCCCATTATCCTTTGCCAAGGTTATACATTCCTAGATTTATGACAGTCTGACTCTGTGATCTCCACCCACCCAGCACAATATATTTTGACGTATGTGTTACACAGTATTGTCAACCAATTTTAAAACAAATTCCTACCTATGCGCAAACAAATCCCATTTTTCCCACACAAAATTTTTTAATTTCCACAATTTTTCCCACGTTATTCATTTGTAATCAATTCCCGATTAAACATTTAACAACTATTTTCTTCTTTAAATACCTAAATACATACTTTTTAAATAAAGTGTTCCTTCTTGAATTTAAATATAACACAAGTACCTACTAGCACTGTTTTGTCATGATTTTCCTATATATAGGAAAAATGTAAAAAATTCTATATGAAAAGATTCCTGTAACTCAAGAATCGCCACCAGACATATACAACACACAAAACACTAACTTAGAAAATTACAAATAAAGAATAAATAGATTGAGATTGCGGGTAATGAGTACCTACTTCCAAGATCAACCAAAAACAACGTGGTCGAGCCGAATTATTATATTTTAAGTTCATTTTAATTTTTTTCCCTAAAAATCAACGTATCTATATTTCAGTACGAGGTCTACTCAGCGAGCTATTGATAAGTAAAAAGTAAGTCACATTATTCTTTCATGATAAATTTTCCTGGCCAAAACAAAACACAAATGGGAAATTTTGAAATTAAATTATCAGCTATAATGTGCATTTTTATAATAACTATTTTAGAAAAAATATTACAACAATTTATACCGGATGTTCAAATTAAAGTGATACAGTTAAATATCGCCGAAAATATGCATTTTAGAAAAAAAGTTTCAGATAAAAAAGTTTTATAGTTTTTTGGGGGAAACATTTTGGCCAAATTCAATTTTTTATAGCTGACCATAATATGGCCATATCGAGGTTTTTTTAAATGGGACTTTTTTTACATATTCTTATAGTACATAAAAAAATAAGAAAATTTTGATATAAATATTTTTTTTATTGGACTTTTACTTTTTGAGTAACAGCTACTTGAAAATTTTGCTAGGCGAAAAAAAAGTTGACCTATTATGGTTAGCTATAAAAAACGATTTTAGCCAAAAAATTTTCCCTACAAAAACTATAAAACTTTCGTCTGAAACGTTTTTTTTTTATAAAAGACGGTATATAGCTGTAACACTTTAATTTGAACACCCGGTATATTGCTGTTTATTAAAAAACTAAATTGCATTTTAAGTTAGTAAAAATCTATCTCGAAAAAGTCTCGGACAATGCATGTACGGAAG